TTTTTTAAAAAACAAACAAATGCGTAAAACTTTTCCCGCTAATTATATGAATGTATATTATTGTAATCAAAATTCATTAACTAATGAACGGCTTTGGTTAATTATTGATCCATATTCACAAAAGTTATATAAACTCGAGGTTTTTTTAGATTCAAGATCAAAAATTTTTTATTAATTCTGCTTTATAATTTGTTAAAAAATTTTTTTAATAAAACATGTCTCAAATAAATAAAAACGAAAATAACAAAAATATTGCATTAACAATCGAGGTATTTTATTATCTGTGCTTGTTAAAATTTTATTCGTGCAACCTTTTTTTCGAATAATAATAATAATAAATTTATAATTCATAGCCATATATAATAACAGAAGATAATGAAATTATTACTGATGAAAGAGTAGCAGTTACTAATAATAATATCACGCGAACAAAAACTTACCAAACCATATCTATCACTAAGGTTTTGTTCTTCAAAAGGTATTCGTAACCAAACTAAAATAACAACAATTCCCAAAACAATTGTTTGTATAACATTAATTTTTGACAAAATTACACCTTTTTGTTGTTTAAAAGATCTTTCTGCTAATATCTTTATCTGTTGTGAAAATGTAGCCTCCCAGCGATATTCAACTGTTATTCGTTTATTTGATGGAATTGTAACTATTGTTGATGAGAAAATTTGATTTTCTTCAAATGAAGAAGGAGATGATGATAAAGTTGTCGATGATGATGAGCTTTCTTTTGGTGCTTTCATGAATTCGGGACCTTTTTCTTTTCCTTGTGGATCGTTACTTATTTTTTCGGCATAAGACTTTATTAATTTTTTTTTACTTTTATCGTCGTTTAATAATTCCACTTTAAAGAATGGGTTAATAAGTTTAAAAGTTTTCTTGGAAAAAAATTTCAGATTTAAACTTAAAAAAATAAAAATATTTACATATATAATCGGCAGGATTGAAATTAGACTGACATTTGAATCCTTCGTTCGCAAGATAATCTACTATTTTCTTTTGGTCGTCAAAATATACCATGCGACCATCGGCCATTAGTAGTAATTTATCCAAAAGCTCAAATACTTGTGAGGATGGTTGATGAATAACCATAATGATTGTTTTAGAATGTTTTAATGCAAAAGTTTTTAAAATGTTTGTGAGTTCTAAAGCCAACGAAGAATCTAAATAATAATAACCACATTTATTTTAGCATAATAAAAAAATATTTAAGGTAAAAAAAGTAAACAGTAAATGAAAAATAAATACATACCAAGTCCCGAGGTCGGTTCATCCAATAATATAATGCTAGGATCCGTTAACAATTCGCTTGCAATACTAACACGTTTTCTTTCACCGCCTGAAATACCTCCAGATCCACTATTTCCAATCAGTGTGTTTGAACATTTAGACAGATTCAATAGTTGAATCACATTTTCAACTTGCTTTAATTTGTCACGTTTTGACATTATACGTGGAAGACGCAATAAAGCCTTAAAATTGTAATAGTTGTATGATATTAATAATGATTTATTATCAAAATTATAAATTTATATATAAAAAAATCTAATACGTACGGTATATTTTAAAGTCTCTCGTACTGTCAATTGAGGAAAGAATATATCATGTTGTGTACAATAAGACACAAATCGTTTTGAATCTTTTGTAGGTTTATGACCATTCATAAGTATTGTCCCTTCAACATTTTTACTATTTACTCTATTTCCGAGAAGATTTAATAGAGTTGTTTTACCACATCCAGATGGTCCCATTATAGCGAGAATTTCACCTATTAAGCATTTTTTTATATTAATATTAATTATTTGTTATATTAATAAATATTGTTATATTATGTTAATAAATATTTATTATATTATTTATTATTTATTATTTAATATTATTTATTAAATATTAATAATAAATAATTACTGTTATTGGTTACTATTATTAATTATTAATTATTTCCTTTAACTGAAAATGATTTCGTGCTGGAAGTCATGATTCAACAAATTATTAATAACAAGAGTAAAAATATATAAATGTTTATTTATTATTTTATGTTCTAAAATAATTCGATTAAATTTATTTCTAATATCTAAGGAATCTATAACAATTTGGTAAAAGAAAAGAATGAGAGAAAATTAAAATTAAATACAACAAATGCTATCACTACTACGAATAATGATATTGTGATTTCAATTGGTATATTTTGTTTAAAAATCAACAGAAATTTATTTTAGAAGATGAAGAGAAAACTAATGATGAAAGGGGAGAAAAAAACAACAATGGTTCGGAAGATTATTATGTTCTAGAAAAAGGTTATGATGATAATAATTCAGAAGATTCAGGAGATGAGGGTGATAATAATTACAAAGGTTCAACGCATGAAGAGATTCAAATTTAAATCATCTGGGTCAATATAAGAGTACCACCAGAAGTTGAACAATTAAATGACTTCAGAACAAGTGTGGAATTATTGGTACAATATATTTCAAGTGAAAGAAAGACAAGGAAGTTACAAAAAACAGACAGCAAAATGACACTGAAGCAAAATATTGTTTTATATCCTCGTATACTTTTTTTCCTATAAATAAATTAACAAATTAATTTTAAAAATGGGTAGATTAACTACCAAAATTGTAGAACTAATCAAGACAGATCCTTTGATTGAATTATGAAATAATTCTTTTAACTTTAAAAATCTTGGATCCAAAGTTCAAAACGTATCTCTCTTTCACTTTGCAACGAAGAGAGCTACAAGGGTGTGTCAAGGGTGCCATATTATATTTTACCATAGTGTTTGCTACTACCAATATGTGATAGTTATGATCTAAGAAATGGTTCCGGTTATGTCACTCGTAAGTTTATGCAGAAATTAACATTTAAGCGTGAAAAAAATTTCTTTCTTTGAAAATGTGTTAGGTGATGTCAATATCATTTTAAAATTTCACAAAATTTACAAACAAGGCAGAATAAATATTTATTTTTAAAATAACCCTTTTTTAAGTAAAAGTTGTCAACTTGAAAAACTACCTCGTGAATTTCCAAATGATGTTATCAGTAACAAGTGTCAACATAAAAACCATTTAAAAATAATTATTTAAATTTGAAAAGCTTTTTTCAAAAATTTTTATTGATAATAAAAATTTATTCATTTCATTTATTATATATAAATAAAACCAAAAAATAAATATTGAAGATGGCAGGATATTCAGATAAAAGAAAATCATAAACTGGTATCTTTTTATATAAGGTAGTTTTCATATAATTTACAAGTGTGAAATAAATTATAAGGTATGATTCTATACTTAAGATGGACAGAATTATTATAAAATAATGGAAATTTTGATTAATTCAAATCAATTCGATCAATTTGAATCTTCTTCTTGAGAAGCTTCCAAACGATCCCAAACATCCTCAATGGTAGGACGTTCCCATCTGTCAAATTTCCAACATTCTAAAAAATTTAAGAATTATTATCATCAATATGACATCAATATGATTATTAATTAAATGAATATAGTTATATGTATTTAAAAATCATTATTACCTTTATATAAATCTTCATAAAATTTAGGAGTATTTGGAACTGGACTTTCACGAAGAGAAAACTAATGATGAAAGGGGAGAAAAAAACAACAATGGTTCGGAAGATTATTATGTTCTAGAAAAAGGTTATGATGATAATAATTCAGAAGATTCAGGAGATGAGGGTGATAATAATTACAAAGGTTCAACGCATGAAGAGATTCAAATTTAAATCATCTGGGTCAATATAAGAGTACCACCAGAAGTTGAACAATTAAATGACTTCAGAACAAGTGTGGAATTATTGGTACAATATATTTCAAGTGAAAGAAAGACAAGGAAGTTACAAAAAACAGACAGCAAAATGACACTGAAGCAAAATATTGTTTTATATCCTCGTATACTTTTTTTCCTATAAATAAATTAACAAATTAATTTTAAAAATGGGTAGATTAACTACCAAAATTGTAGAACTAATCAAGACAGATCCTTTGATTGAATTATGAAATAATTCTTTTAACTTTAAAAATCTTGGATCCAAAGTTCAAAACGTATCTCTCTTTCACTTTGCAACGAAGAGAGCTACAAGGGTGTGTCAAGGGTGCCATATTATATTTTACCATAGTGTTTGCTACTACCAATATGTGATAGTTATGATCTAAGAAATGGTTCCGGTTATGTCACTCGTAAGTTTATGCAGAAATTAACATTTAAGCGTGAAAAAAATTTCTTTCTTTGAAAATGTGTTAGGTGATGTCAATATCATTTTAAAATTTCACAAAATTTACAAACAAGGCAGAATAAATATTTATTTTTAAAATAACCCTTTTTTAAGTAAAAGTTGTCAACTTGAAAAACTACCTCGTGAATTTCCAAATGATGTTATCAGTAACAAGTGTCAACATGTTTCTACTTTTTGTATAAAATGGTTAATAAAACATTTGGATAGTGAGCACAATTCAAAACAATGTCCTGAATGTAAAAATCTTAATCAAAAAGAAATCGAAACTATAAAGTTTCATGGAACAAAGCTTCTTTCAAGATTGATATCGATAATATTCTAATATCGAAAATTATAAATAATAATAATAATTTTACTGGAAATTTCTATGTTGTAATGTTAGATGGTCATAAGATTCAATTAAAGTTAGAGAATGTCAGAAATGTTCTTGCTCTTAATAAGCAATAAATTCAAAAACTAAACAAAAATTGATTTATAACGAAGTTGAATTAGAGGTAATAATATAAACACACATAATATAATATTTATAATATAATAATATATGTATTTTAATTTTCTTAATTAATAGACTTTTCGTCAAAATAAAATTGAGAGTAAATTATTATCAGAATATAATATTGTAGAAGGAAGCCACATACAATTAATGGTATTACTTTACTCGATTTCTAAAGACCAATCTCTTAATAATTTAACGTTTGATTTATTTTTGGGATTTCCTGAAGAAATTGTGATTGCTTGGATGGACTTGTATGTTGTATAATGATAAATTATTTAACAGAACATTGAATTATGGTTCAACAGGTCATGTTGATCTAAAATGTATTTCTCATTCTGGTGATGTGATGGATTTTGCTAATAAAAAAGGTGATGAATCTTTAAAGGGAAAAAGCTCAAATTTTTTATTTATAAATAATATTAAAATTTTTCATGTATTTTTCATGATAATAAGGTCATCATCGTACAACAGTTGATTTATCCAGTTTACCATCAAATGTAACATGATTATATTTTATATTGTCATCATGGGATTCGCCTAATATTGAAGCTTTCCAAAACCAAGTTTTAAATTATACAATCCAGATAAACCTAAGGAGCAGTTATGTGGATATAAAATATGAAATGCAGCATCTTCACAAGCTGTAATAATGTGTGTTGTTGCTAAAAACAAAAGTTAATGGTATTTGGAATTTATATGAAGTTGGCAAATTATCTATTGGTAATGTTGAAAATTATTATCCTATTCGAACAACAATAGAGGCATTAACTCAAATATTTTTTTGATAATTTGGTATTTATCCTATGTTTATTGTTGTTATAATATGTTTGTATATATATCCTGATGTAATCATTATTGGTTTATTTTTTATTAACAGTATAGTTTTCTTTTCTTATATAATTGAATCTAGGCGTAAACACTCGTGTTTATCTTCTTCATTGCTGGTTGTTAATTTTTTAAATCATAATCAACTTGACAACAATCTAATCATATAGATTTAGATAAAATGAACCTTTCCTGATTATTTAGATGAGTTTACTTAAACATATCTAATTAGATAGCTTGATCAAAGGGTGACATGCTAGCTTTAAATTAACTATAGGTTAATTTGATCCATGATATTTAATAATGTAATAAATTTTCAAATGAATGTGATTGCAATCCAAGTTTTTGGTGAAACTTGATTTAAGATTCCCAGCAAATTAAAATCAATCCGTTGTATTGATTTTTACTCCTAAATACAGAAATAATTCTAAAGGTTTAGGCTCTTTCATTAAAATATTAAATTATAATCTTTAAATTTTTTTGATTTAAAATGTACATCTTCAATAATGTACTGTACATATGGGTTTGAAGTTTGAAGTCTTCCATAATGCACACTCCATAAATGCACCTTTTCCATAAGTACACGTGACTTTACCATTAGTAATTCTCATGTTACAATATTTCTTTTTTAAGAATAATTAGAATAACAGAATAACAGAATAACAGAATGGAGATGGTAATGAAATCTTTATTATATTCTCACACCTTATATTATTCTCAAAATCTACAACTTCCAAATAAAATGTCTTTCAAGTAAAACAACTTTATCTAATTCCAAATATATGATTTTTGGTCATTTGTTGAAAATGATAATAAAGAATATGTCAATAACCAGAATTTACCAAAAGTAAAGAAATACAAATCCAGAAGCAAAAAGACATAAACCTGTGATTAGTCTTTGAACTTGGATTTGTCTTGATTTATCAAAACTTGAATATTATAATTTTTATTTTATTGGAATGAAAAATTTTCATAGCTGCGTAAATAACGTAGGACTTCAAATGACACAGGTTTGTATTTAGCATCAAAACAATGACGCAGTCATCAATCACGGTCGATCAATATAATAACTGGCTGAAAAATAATCCGTGCCTGGATTAACCTATAATAGAAACATTTTTTCGTGGAAATCAAAAAGGATGCCGTGATTATAAATTAAATGAATACACAC